CACTGAACTTCTAAGTTGTCTTTGGTGTTCGTGGATTGAGGAGCATGGATGCCACCACAGCTGCCTGAGATTCATTCCTCTGAGGCCTGCTCTAGGTTTGCTGGGAGCTGCGTGCCCACACTGAACTGTGTTCCTCTCCCCACCCGGCGCGATAAGCGTTTCTGATCAACTATCCAGGCTCTTTCGGGCTGCAAATTTGTTTTAGTCTGTTTTTTTGTGGGTTCTGCTGCTTTAGAATTTGTTTAGAGCCATTTTTTTATGGATATTTGGTGGGGTTTGGGGAAGAGTTTGAGTAAGTCACTGCTTTCACACCGCCATCTTGGCTCCGCCTCCTTCCTTGATATTTCCTTGAAAGATGTTGTCTAGGCTCTTTCTTTTTTGATCATGGCTTTCAGTTAGTCCAATGATTTTTAAATTGTCTCTCCTGGATCTATTTTCCAGGTCAGTTGTTTTTCCAATGAGATATTTTATATTGCCTTCTATTAATTTATTCTTTTGGTTTTGTTTAACAATTTCTTGATTTGTTATGAAGTCATTAGCTTCCATTTGCCGTATTCTAATTTTTTTTTAGCCAAATAAAAGGTTTATTAGAACATCTATCATATTGGGCAGACTCTTAAAGAGTCTGAACATTGGTAAGCTATTGGCTAGATTTTACGAATCTGTGCAGTGACTAGATTTTACGAATCTAAGCAGTGACTAGATTTTATGAATCTGAGCAGTGGCTAGATTGTAAGAATCTGAGCATCTTAATGGAGACAAGATGGACCTTATATACAGAAAGAGTGTGGGAGGGATCTAGGAGTGGCCAAATACTCTATGAGGTAATAGAACTCCAGGGACCTGCATCCAGTGGCCAAGGGAGAATGGAGCCTAGATAGGATTAAGGGTGGGAAGTTGCCAGGGCCATAGGGAGGTAAGACAATGCAGGACTAGGCTAGGTTAAGGGTAACAAAATTGAGAGATTGGGTGTAGCTACAATGAAAGGCTAGTTGGTGGAATTATAGCCTCAGGTGAAAGCCAGAGATTTGGCCCTGTGGGAAAGTCCAGGGTTTTTCCTTTTTGGGGTCTAGATCTCAACCTCATCATTCCCCCCTCAAACAAGTGGGACACAAATTCTTTTGGGGTAAGGGGTCGTGGCTTCTGAAACTGCTTGCTGGTGGCAAGGGGCATAGAGCCGTCCCTGCCTTGAGGGAGTCCCAAAGAGGAGGTTGACTGGAACCCAGCAGAGGCTGCATCCAGGAAACGATGCGGGGACATTGGCTGGTACCCGCTCTTTGCCACCAACTGTGGGTGAATGGCCTATAATGTGGAAGACACAAATCTGACACAAAAGACTGTAGGGCCCAGATGTAAAGCAGGGACTAGATTTAGGGCCCAAATATGAGAGGATAAAACATCCTTAGCTCTGTTTGGATTCAGATAATTCAGTTTTCCAACCATGCAGTGTCAAATCCACCTCATAGCCAAAGTCAGGAATAGCGAGATGGGTAACATTCCCTTTCAAAGGAATGTAATGGGAAAACTGAGCCAGGAGGATCCCATCTTAGACTGAGGCTAAAATTGTCCTCTCAGCTTTTCCCAATGCTGACTTCCCACGGCTAATACACTCTCTCTGAGTGGCTTGTGGCATGTCTCGAATGGTGGATTATTGATTTATTGATGGATTATTAAGATCCATCAGACAACCGAAAATAAAATCCCATGAGCTTTTACCTCACACAGCAAGTTTCACAACTTAGGAAAAACTTTTCCAGGATTGACATCTCAAAGTTAAATTTTTCCTAGTGTAAAAAGCCAATCATTAGAGATTATTTCTACATACTTGCAAATTCTCAGCAAGACAAACCCAAACCGGCTTTTTGCCAAGTTTACACATTAAAGCAATAACCAACAATGGCCAAATTATTTTAGCAGCAACCAAATGATGAGAAGTTGCTTGACAGAACTGATGTAAAGAGTTCACCAATTTGAAATCTGAAACAAACCCATTAGCAATCAGGTGACTTCAGTTTTGTTAAATGCATTTCCAGATTACTTTACCCAGGGGATCTACATTTCATTAACAGGTAAAACTATAACTTTACAAAGAGTGTGCTTACCCAAGTTCTGAGACTAGCTTCTTGACCTTGAGCAGGATGTGCTGAACCTGGGTTATGCTTCTAGGCAAAGATTGCCCCAGGGCCCAAGGCCATTGCCAATGGAGCCCATGCTGTAGCTGCTGCCCCTCCCCCCTCCTTCCTTTCCCAGGTGGGGGAGGGTGAAATCAAAGGTGAGGGGTAAAGGGTGAAGCTCTTTTCTCCTATGAGAGAGGTTAACAGATACCCTCTTGACTCAAGTGAAGGGAGTGAGAGAAAGGAGTGACCAGGATTGTAAGGAGTAGTTTCAAAACTCCATAAGGATCAATCAGAAAACCTCCAGAATCTGCCAAGATATTTATAGCTGTTCTAACTTTTCCCTGTAACCTCCATGAAGGAGGCTTCAGAGGTGTAGAGGGAAGGGAGTAAGTAAGCTTCAGGGAACCAAAAAGCAACTGCATTTTCCCCCAATTCCCTAGTGCTCAGAGAATTGATGGCATTGGGCATACACTTCCAGAAAGGGAATCCATCCTTGTCCTCTATGCTGCGGAAGGTGTACCCAGGTCCATGGCCTCAACTCGACTTAGTGAACTGAGAGCCTGAGAGTGTCAGGCTGAATGTGAGACAGCCTCATAAGTGTCTGCCTGAAAAGCACCTCCAAGCCTTGGTGCTTGGAGAGTGAACCCAACTGCAGAGCAAGAAAGGAGGGGTGGGGAAGGCTTACATGCCTTCCAGTCATGGCTGGAGAAGAATTTGGGGTTAGGCAGTTTCCCCCAAACAGGCCGCCAAAATGTTGAGATTTAGGGACTTAGGGGTGCTGAAACCCCAAAAACAAAAAATGCACATCCTGCCCAAAAGAATTCGACCAGAGCCTTCTTTCAGCCAAAGACAAAGTTTATTAGGACATCAATCATATTGGGCAGACTCTTAAGGAGTCTGAACATTACTAAGCTATTGGCTAGATTGTAAGAATCTGAGCAGTGGCTAGATTTTAAGAATCTAAGCCAAAGTATGAATATCTTATAATTTTAACCTCCATTCGTGGTCGAATAATAATATAAGAATGATATCCTGCTAAGGGGGAAATCATTAGACAAAGTAATGAGACAAAGGTGTAATGTGATCATTTTCTAATTAAATAGAATAGTAAATTTTGAGAAAAGCAACAGGATTAGAATGTTTTCTCAAAGAACCCTATAGAGATGTGTATGGTTACTATTACTATGATTAATTCTATATAGATGTGTACAGCTCATGTCTCATGGAAATTCAAGCTTGAAGCATGTTTTGGTGAGAAGTTCTCAAAAAGGGATTTTTTTGTGGTTTGGATAATGGCAAAGAAAGTGAAATAATTTTTCCATGATTAAAGTATCTGTCTGATAACTATAAAAGGTAGAAGAGCTCATTTTATTGTTTGGACCCTCCAATTTTTACAAGATTCTTCTATCAAGTACAGGATTTAGTTTCACTCAGGGCTGTTATTGGGATGGGATACCTCCTGAGATCCCTTGCAACAAGAGCAGTTCATCTTTCATGTCTAGTGGATTTTGTGTTGTCCCTAAGTGTGTGCACATTCCTTGTACTGATGGTGAGTGGAATCATCTTTGCAGACATTTTTGTACATTTTTTTATGTTTCAACTACAGGGTGGGATCCCTTCTTAATGGTAACAGGCCAAGGTTAGGTAATTTGAGAATTTTTAGAACACCTTTTGTAGCCTCTTCCTCCCACCAGGCGGTGAACAGTGTGGTCCTTCAAAAAGGCTGCTCAGACACCCAGGAAGCTGCTGAATCCTGTTGCTGCTTCCAGTGAGAAATGACCCTATGGTCTGGGTCACCTGTGTGCAGGGTTGTGACTACAGCTCCCAGTTATCTGTACCTGCTGTTGTCACTTGCCTGTCACAGTTCTCTGAGATAGTAAAATGGCAAAATGATATGGGTGATGTCATTTGATTCTGTGTGATTTGCATTTAAGTGCAGCACAGTGAAGGAATTTGTCCACCTCTCTCTCCCCTCCACAGTGATCACAGTCGCTTGGTGATGGCTACACATGCAGTGGGTGACCTTGGCCTTTTCCATGGCTAACCAAGCTCTAATCAGCCAGGTGAGACAGGGAGATCTCCTCCCAAAACAATTTGGTAGTGGGAGATCAGCAGGGTTTCTGTCCAGCACAGCAGCGATTGCTATTTACACTCCCTTTGGGCCATCAAATCTCAAACAGTGACCCAGAGAGCCTGGGCTGGGACTTAATATTGGCCAATCAGTGAGAGCAGAGTTGTGGATTGAAATCATAGTGAAGTATCTCCAATTGAATCTGAATGGGCTTTATCAAAGCCTGGTTTTCCAGAACTCATTTTCCAGCAATTCATATTCCTTTGGTCAGAGCCCAGAGATGTAAGTGTATGATTCCCCATGGGGAGGAAAGGAGAAAGGAAGAAATTGAGGAAGAAAGGAAGGAATGAGGGAAGGAGCACAGCCTCACTGGAACTGGACTGTTGGGTCTCCAGTGGGGCAGCTACTCCTCCTCACAGATGGTTGCTCATCGTCTCCTGTTGAAGAGACTAATGACATCAGGAAGGTGATGTCTTGACTTAGAAGTGAATTGGGTTTAAGTGAGGCAGGCTGGGCAAAGTCCCCAGTCTCCCTCTCTCCTCCAGAGCCACCTGAGTCCACTAGCAAGATATAGATCAGAATGACTGGACATGGCCTCTGAGACCTGAGAAAGAGAAATGAAAAACTGAGTCCTAGGAAAGACCTCTCTCCCACTTTACTGATGGCCATCACATTGTCTTCATTCATGAGGCTGAGTGAGAGGGATACCAGCTCCTGGAAGCAGCCCAGGGCAAGGATTGTGGTGCCTGGCTAAGGCATACCGGGAAGAAGATTCTTTATCTTCCTCCTTTTTCTCTCTCTTCTTACTCTTTCTACCTCAACCAGCATCCCTTTGACAAATGGCTCCTGCAGCAGGGCTGAATTGGGCCCCATTCTCCCCTGAGGGCAGTGGTTGCCCCAAGCCTGTGACTCTGGGGAAGCTGCTGCTGCCCTCTGCTGAAGGGCTGAGCAGCCTGGAGAGGTTTTTCTTTGGGGCTGAAACACTGTGGCAATGTAGCACTATAGTATTGAAAACAGTAATAGTCTGCCATGTCCTCAGCCTCCACTGCACTGATGGTGAGGGTGAAATCTGTCCCAGAGCCCCTGCCACTGAACCCAGGCAGGGACCCCAGACTGCAGAGTGGAAGCACCATAGATCATGAGCTTGGGAGCCTGTCGTGGTTTCTGCTGGTACCAGGCCATGTACTTGCTAACACTGGACCTGGCCTTGCAGCTGATGGTGACTTGTTCTCCTGCAGCCACACAGAGGGAGGCTGGGGACTGGGTCAGCTCAATGGCTGCCTAGGATTCTAAAGGAGAAGAAGAAAGAGATTTCAGTGAATTAAGAATCCTGTGTAGAGACAGTGAATGCAGGAGAAGTTCCCTCACCCTCAGACTGAGTCAGAGATGCCCACTGCAAAACTTCTGTCTCTAAAATGGTGCCAAACCATGGCTCTTTCTAAGTCTTACCTTGAGGCCAGAGGAATAGCAGCCAGAGGAGGAAGGACTGGGAGACCATTGTGACCTTTGCAGAGCTGGAGGCAGAGAGCTCTGAGCTCAGAGGGAGACAGATGGGAGGTATTTGTATGTGAGGCTGAGTTTGCGAAATGCCCCTTAGATACCACCATGCAAAACCATGGTGGTTCAGCCTGAACTGAAGGAGCCCAGGAATGTTTATATGCACACAGAAGGAGTGGCCCAATTGCATTTCCTTGAAGGTGTGACCTCCTGTGGCCTCTGTATTTATTGTAATTTTACATACACCTGCCTTAGACTGGATATGGTGGTGGTTCTGGTGGGTGGCGAATTTTGGTTATGTGCAGGGGGAGGCCTATCTACCTTCCCAGGAGAGATCCGATGGATCTGGGTCTAGAGACCAAGAGTTGATAAGTGTCTATGCAAAGAATAGAAAGAAGAAAGAGGAAGGAGCTGAGTTAGAAAAAACACTAAGACCAGGAACCAACAAAATTTAAAGAGACTGAAGGGCCCAGGTTTAGATGAAATGGAGATGGAGGGGACTTGGAGATGCTCTGGTCTACTAGGTGATATAGGAGAATATGTCCCCTGAGTAGTTGTTGTAGGGGGTTGGGGGAGAAGATGTTTATTCGACCCTTCTGTATTTCTGTTTTATCTTTCTAAAAGCTAAAAAGAATAAAAAGGATTGCTGGTTTCAATCTTTCATTTTGTAATTGGGGAAACTGAGGCCAAAAGAGGTAAAATGATTATTCAGGTGCCTTTTTCATCTCCTTTTCTCTACTCAGAAGCTGTCAACTCTCATCAAGCCCTCATCATCCGAAGGGTGGGCTCTTCCCATGTCCATCTGGTTGGTTTCCATGCCTCAATTCTCTCCCCACTCCACGCAATGCTGCACTCAGCTGTTAAATTGATCATCTGAGACAGCAGCTCTCACCATGTCACCTCTTCTACTCCAGACACTCCAATCCCTCTTTATTACCTCCAGAAGCTAATTAAAAAATGCTTTAAAGCCCTTCAGAACTTGGTCAATTCCCCCTTTTCGGATTTCCTCACATTCTACCCCCTTCCAGGCACCCCATGATCTAGTGACACTGGCCTTTTCTGTTTCTCTTGAAGGACCCTCCTCTGACTCTGCGCCCCTTCACTGCTGTCCCATGTGCCTGGAGTGCTCTTCTTCCTCACTGCCACTTCCTGACTTCACATGCTTCCTGTTTGCTGAGAAATAAACACATGGGGAAGCTTCCAGTTACATTCGCTTGTTACTATGATCGCCACCCCACCCCGAAATCTTTTCTCTAATACCCATACTTCATGCGGGATACAGGAATGTCTGTGGCAGGTGTCTAAGTGAATGTGCTTTTTCAGTTAAAAATTTTGAATATTGAACTTAAACACTAAGAGAAAAACATTTCCATACCTGTAGCAGAACACAGAAAGAAGATTGTATGTGAAGCTATGAACTTCTGTTTTATACAGCTTGGAAAACAATAATATAATAAAGTCCATCCCTGTCTTTGCAAGTTGTCCTGCTTATCTATAACTTTTTATGTTCTTTTTTTCCCATCACAATTGCTCTTGCTTCATTCCTGAATTAAAAATTGAGAAGAAATTAAGAAAAAAAATCCCCTGTAATATACAAGCACAGTCAAGCAGAATAACTCCAGACTGTGTAAGAGTCCACTTTCTGCATCTGGTGTCCATCCTCTTTGTCAGGTGGTTAGCACGTCTTCTCAGAGTTTCTCTAAAGACGTGGTTCAGAGTTGTTTGTCCTGACCATGCTGATGTCCTCATACTTGCTAATGCAGGAAGTGGTCTTGCAGCTGGTGAAGACTGTCTCCTGGAGGAAGTGATTGGACAAAGCAATGAGACAAAGGTACAATGTGATATATTTCTCATTAAACAGGATAGCAAATTTTGAGAGAAAAGCTACTAGATTAGACTGTTTCCTCTATGAATTATATAGAGGTTTATATCATTGGCTTCCAAAATTTATCTTTCATGGAAATTCAGGCTTTAGGCATGCTTTGATAGTAAGTTTCCCAATTTGTATTTTCCATTACAAAAGTATCTGTCTGACAATTTTAAAAGGCAGAAGAGGCTCATTTTATGATTGGACCCTCACATTTTAAAAGATTCATAGACCAGGTGCAGGATTTAGCTAAGGACAGAAACCGCCACTGGTATATAAACCGAAATTCTGTGAAGTTTCAAAATTGGAGAATCAAATTTAAGTGATTGTACTAACTTATACTAAGTCAGAATTATGCAGGAAACACATACATTTGAAGCAGAGAAGGAGAACTCCCTTTTAGAAATGTCTTGAGAATAAAACCTGTTGTCCAAGAAAGGATATCTAGAGACCAGATAACTACATGAGACATCTGGGACTTCAAAGGTGCTGATCAATTAGACATTGAGAATAGGTTACTGGGATACAAGGAGACCTAAGGTTAGTTACCATTGTGTGGTTTCTGTTCATGTTTTCTTGGTTACCTTGGTGACATGTGAATTTCCTTGCACAAAACTTGTCTGTTGTGCGTCCTCTCAGTGGTTTAATCCATTCGTGACTTCAGGCAATTGTGCAGCTATGGGAATTCTGAGAAAAACTTTGCTACATTCTTTGAACCTGGACAATGGTTATGTGTCTTCAACCAAGGACTTACGGTTTTGGTATTTATTCTAAGTTGCCAACTGATATGTCTTGTAAGAGCCTGTCAGGTGTTTCTGAGGACTCCCACAGTTGCCACCTTGTGGATGTGTTCTCCTGGATCATGTGAAGGCACCAGCTACAAGTGGACATCTCTTTCCACTCTGTGAGGAAGATTGAAGTCTTCCCCATACCTGTGTTGGCCGGCAGGTGGCACCTTTGGGCACACCTTCGACTAAAAGGAGGGGGATGTGAACCATTTGTGAGCCCCCGAAGACCTGAGAAAGTCCTAAAACCTAGATTGGACAATCAGGAGAAAGACATTTTTGGCCAGCTGTGAGCTTAACCTACCATAATGCTTTGCATGCTCTGGCATAACAGACATGCTTTGTTTTGCTCTCTGCGCGCAACCAAAATGCTCCTTCCTGTGTCAGCAACTAACTAGAAAGCTGGATGAACCTGATCCGGAGAATTCTTCTGTTTATGACTCCCAAGGGCAGGAGGCTTTGAACTGGATGCTATCTTGAATGATGAGACATTTTCTTATATTGGTATTTTATGGACATACATTATGCTATGTTATGCTATACGTATTCATGTTAACGATAAAAGAAACACAGAAATCCTGGATAGATAATGTCAATGGACACCTTGACATTCTCTTATCTTATTGCATTTACAATCTATCCAATTGAGAAATTCCCTTCTCTTATTATGGTTAAGACCTATGGGGACTCTAATTTTGGCTGACATGGGCATCATGAGCCAGGAAGGGAGGGAGGGATGAGTGGGAATTAGTGTGAAGATCCAAGAGCACCTTTGTTTATCTGTCCTTGGGCTCATTTGTACAATGAGCTCCCATGTTACCTCTATATTTATGTTCCAGAAGCTTTGAGAGAAAGAAACATGTAAATGCAGCCTGGTTTTGTTTGTCTTTCTTTTTCTTTTCTATTTTTAGGCAATTGTGATTAAGTGACTTGCCCAGGGTCAGAGAGCTAGTGAATGCCATGTATTTGGTCTGAGGCCAGATTTGAATTCAGGTCCTCCTGACTTCAGGGTTGGTGCTCTATACACTGCACCAACTCGCTGCCCCAGTTTGTCTTTCTTAGAATGACCTCAGTAATGGCTGACAAAGCACAAGTCTGAAGTCTTAAAGAAAGCAGTTGGGGAATGGCTGACTAAATTAGGGTCTACAATAGTAGTATACTGTGAAAAAGCTGGTTTCAGAGAAACCAGAAAAATTCATAAAAATGTACTGATTCAGAGTGACATGAAAAGACCAGGAGAACAAATGATTGAGTAAAAACAGCAACAGACCTGGTACCTAGGGCACATATGCCCAAGCCTGTCATCCTAGCTACCAGGGAGGCTGAGGCTGGTGCATTGCTTGAGCTCAGAAGTTAGGAGCAGCAGCTGGGCTAAGGCCAGATCAGGTGTGCAGACCAAGTCTGGCACCAGTAGAAGTCCTGGCCTCTTCCCCCAGGAGGCTGCCTAAAGGCCTGCCAACTGGCCCAGATCAGAAAGAGAGCACAACAAAGTTTCCATACCAATCAACAGTGGGATCCAGCCTGTGAGCAGCTGTTGTATTTCCAACCAAGTGAGATAGGGACGACTACTCCTATAACAATTGGGGAGGGGAAGATGTCAGGGTTTCTGTCCAGAGCAGGAACAACTGCTATTTACACTCCCTTTGAGCCATCAGATCCCAAACAGTGCTCAGAGAGGCTTGGGCTGGGACTTATTATTGGCCAATCAGTGAGAGCCAGAGTGCTGTGGATTGAAATCATAGTGAAGTATCTCCAACTGAGTCTGAATGGGCTTTATCAAAGCCTGGGTTTGCAGAGCTCAGTCACAAGCAATTTATATTCCTTTAGTCAGAGCCCTCAAATGCAAGTGTATGATTCTCCACTGGGAGGAAGAGAGGAAGAAAGAAATTGAGGAAGAAAGGAAGGAATGAGGGAAGGAGCACAGCCTAACTGGAGCTGGACCATTGGTCCCCAGTGGGGCAGCTCCTCCTCCTCACAGATTGCTGCTCATCCTTTTTCTTGAAGAGACTAATGACATCAGGAAGGTGAGGTTCAGAGGAAACTGGCCACACCCCATCAGCATTGATTCAGATTCCTCAGGTCTCTCTGGCCAGGCCAAACCCTTTTGCTAACTTGGATTAGAGGTGATTTCAAAGTGTGTAAAATTTATGCATCCGTCTGGAAATCACAGGAGATGGAATGCTTAGGCTAGTTTTAACCTTTTTTTAGGGTAGTTTTATCTTTTAATAAGCATGAAAAATGGAGACTTTTCAGCTCTCTTAAGGAAGTGGAGAGAAAAAGTTACTCAGAGCTGAGAACTGTCACCACGTGTCTTTCTAAGAGAATCTATGAATTTATGGATAATATTTCCTTTCAAAGGGCTAAGAGTACTGGACTTTTAAAAAGACTTTTAAATGTTTATCATTAGCGATTGTAAATCCAGATTCGATTTGATTTAAGGCTATTTACCTCGGTTTACTGTTCTGTAAGGGGTAATAGTGGAAGTCACTTTTGAGAGAAGTTATGAGGATCATGATTGTAAAATAACTGGCATATGCTAGACAACATGAATATTATCTCTCTAATTTAAAGTAATTGCTGCACACCTTATAACTTTGAAGTAGTTTTGAAATACCAAAAGTAATAAGGTCAATAACTTCTAATCAGAAAATGCAATTGATGTCATTTGAAGTTTATTATTGGTGTTATTACTGTATTTCTCAATTTTTAATCTAGATTTTGTTGCATAGGAATTGGGCCTTTTAAAAAGAAAGGGATGTAATCAAATCTTTTTGAAAACTTAACATTTAATCAAGTATATTTGGTTACAATCAAGTAATAATACTAATACTAATACTAATATTTACTCTGAAAGAAGATTTTTCATTTGAAATCTTGGCTATTATGAAAATATAAGGTGGTTGCAGGTTGTAGTTTCAACATAAGAATGATGAGATGAATGATTCTCTGTGCAAGGTGATTTAGAAATGCATTTACCTAAATTGATAATGGTGGCCTTAAGTTTTAAGTACATTATAATGTGTAGGGTATTGTTACATTTCTAAATTGTGTAATTAGGTAAACAATTGTATCACCTTTGCTGTTAAAAAACAATTTCTGTTATAATCTAGATGTTATTAGATTAAGCATTGTACTGTCAGAGAAAAGGAGAAAAAAATGAATGGGTTAGGAAGCTCTTAAGTCATTCTATCAGACCATGTGTTGTAATATTTTTGAAGTATTATAATTTAAGAAATTGTAAACTTCCATTTTGTCTATATTTAAAGGGAAGTTTCAGCTAAAATTATTAAGTTCTCATTTATGAACATTAAGATTGTTAACTAAGTTATTTGAAGTTATTATTTAAATCAAGTATTTCCACAAGTATTTTTGTGAAAGGAAACATGGTAATTGTGCAAAGAAAGGACCTTATGAAATCTCCTTGTAATTAATTTATTCTGGTATAGTAAGAGGATAAATGTAAGCTGTTTTAAAGAAAGGGAAATACTTTTATGAAGAAATGTTTTGGAAAATCTTTTGTGTGATTTTTAGAAGGCCTACTAAGTTTCCATTTCCAAGCCAACTTGTTGCAGTAATAATTTGATACTGATGACAATTATGTCCAAACTCGTGTGAATTTCATTCCTAGGTTTGTTGTGTCCTTGGAATGGCCTTAATAGATGTTTTCTGAGAAATAAAGTGGGAGTCAGCAGCTCAATGGAGCAGCATGTAATGAGCTGTAAATGGGGAAGATCTTGCTGTTTTGATCTGAATTCATTCCATGGCCTAAAGAAGGGTTCAAAATCAGTGTTTGAACTTATCATATGTATAAGATTCAATTCCTGAAGTATTTTATGATATTTAAGGAGGAACATGTGTAGGAATGCATGCAAACTACTTCAGGCCCACTTTAAAGAGGTTCCCTAACCAATGTGAGATCATAGTCACCTCTGAAACTGATTAGGGAACTTGCAATTCACGACCTTATGGGAGTGATAACTGACTTTATTCTGAGTGTAACTTCAGGTGTGGTTATCAAGATGAGCCACTGACTCATGATGCCAGCAACCCTGTAGGGAGGGGTTAGTGGGTCTGTGAACTGCATGTATAAAGTGCAGAGGGGGCTCTCATGGGAAGGTTGGGAGGACGAGTATTCTGCATGAGCTGAAGTAGGGTTCTCCTGACTCACTTTGCCCACTATGACACCTGGCAGACTTTAAGCCTGGCTCAATGCAGTTGGTCATTACATAACATCCTGTCTGGAATTGACATGAAGTTAGGGAAACATTGTTCCCTTACTTTAGTTTTTTGTCCCTTTTCTTTTATGGTCCATTTCTGTAATAAAAGTTTGTAACCAGCTTGTTAAATCCATTAAATACTAGCTTGGTGCTGGAACATCTGAGGTTATTATAGTAAGATGCAAGTATAAGATTGAGCTACTTTTAGGGCACCTTTTCTAGCCCCTTCCTCACACCAGGAGGTGAGCAGTGTGGTCCTTCAAAAAGGCTGCTCAGACACCCAGGGGCTGCTGAATCCCACTGCTGCTTCCAGTGAGAAGACAACCCTATGGCCTGGGTAGCCTGTGTGCAGGGTTGTGAGAGAGCTCCCTGTGTATCCGCACCTGCTATTTGTCACTTGCCTTTTGCCACAGGGCTCTGAAATATGTAAAAATGGCCAAACGGTATGGGTGATGTCATTTGATTCATGTGTGATTTGCCTTTAAGTGCCGCACAGTTGCGTGAAGTTGTCAGCCTCCCTCTCCCCTCGACAGTGATCACAGTCCATTGGCAGGATAGTCAGGATGACTGGTGATGGCTGCACGTGCAGTGGGTGGCCTTGGCCTTTTTGGTGTCTAACCAAGCTCCAATCAGCCAGGTGAGGTAGGGAGATCTACTCCCAAAACAGTTTGGAAGGGGAAGATCCTAGGGTTTCTGTTCAGAACAGTGGCAATTGCTGTTTACCCTCCCTTTGAGCCATCAAATCCCTAACAGTGACCCAGAGAAGGGACATCTTTTGATTCATGTGTGAACTGTTTTAAGTGAGGCAGAGTTGCATGAAGTGGACAGCCTCCCTCTCTCCTCCAGAGTGATCAGAGTCCAGCGGCAAGACAGAGTCAAGATGACTGGTGATGGCTCGAGATGCAGTGGGTGACCTTAGCATCCTCAATGTTTAACCAAGCTCTGAGTACTGCACAGTGCCTGATTCACCTACCTTCAGGCCATTGGAGCGAACTGTTCTCATCTGCCATTCTGCCAGGGGAAGTTTTCACAGCCTTGTGTATAAACCCCCTAATTCACCAAAGGTTTGAGACCCCTTGGTTACTTTTAACTTGGTTACCTATATTTGTGTTTGTATGTGTCTGTGTGCCTCTGTGTGTGTGTGTGTGTGTGTGTGTTTATCTGACTACTTTGGTCCCCTTGAATACTTGTGTGCTTGTGGTCATGAATGCTAATTCCTCTACCCCCTCTCTGATCTGGCTCCAGTGCTGCTGCTGCTCTGTCCAGGCCTGCCCCTCATCATGGGGAGGGCAGTATCCTGGCCCTACAGGAATAGGGATAGCAGGCCTGTTGTCCTCAAATCAGGTTCTCAGGCATCTACCCTACAGATGGGAGTCATGAATGATGGCACAGCGCCAGTGAGTTCCCAGGGTGAGGAGTAAGACTAGATCCATTGTATAGATGAGGTTGCCTCAAGAACTTTAGGGACTGTTCCACACACCTTGTCTCTCCTGGCTGGGGAAAAACAGCCAGAGCTGAGAGTCCAGGTCCATTCCCCTGCATTGTCTATAGTTTCCTCTTCAGAAGCAGCTCAGGTCTCCGGACTTAGGATTGGGAGCAGAGGACAGAGTAAGAATGAGAAGCAGACCACATGGGAAGATTTGTGGTCCTTGGCTAAAGCCTACCAGGCAGAAGATTCTTTCTCTTCCTCCTTTTCTCTTTCTTCTTCCTCTTCTACCTCAACCGGGTCTCTTTGACAAATGGCTCCTGCAGCAGGACTGAATTGGGCCCAGTTCTCCCCTGAGGGCGATGGTTTTCTCAAGCCTGTGACTCTGGGGAAGCAGCTGCTACCCTCTGCTGAAGGGCTGAGCAGCCTGGAGGTTTTTGTTCAAGGCTGAAACACTGTGGGAATGCAGCATTATAACCCGCATAACAGTAGTAATCTGCCACATCCTCAGCCTCCACTGCACTGATGGTGAGGGTGAAATCTGTCCCAGAGCCACTGCCACTGAACCGGTCAGGGACCCCAGACTGCAGGGTGGAAGCAGATAGATCAGGAGCCTGGGAGACTGTCCTGGTTTCTGCTGGTACCAGGACATGTACTTGCTAACGCTGGAACTGGTCTTGCAGCTGATGGTGACTTGGTCTCCTGCAGCCACAGACAGGGAGGCTGGGGACTGGGTCACCTCAATGGCTGCCTGGGATTCTAAAGGAGAAGAAGAAAGATACTGAAATGAATGAAACATCCTGTGTAGAGACAGTGAATGCAGGAGTAGTTCCCTTACCCTCAGGCTGTGTCAGAGATGCCCACTGGAAAACTCCTTCTGTCTCTAAAGTGATGCCAAAGTATGGGTCATTGGAAGTCTTACCTTGAGGCCAGAGCAGTAGGATCCAGAGGAGCAAGGACTGGGAGAGCATTGTGACCCTGGCAGAGCTGGAGGCAGAGAGCTCTGAGCTCAGAGGGAGACAGATGGGAGATATTTGTATCTCAGGCTGGGTTTGAGAAGGTGCCTTGGATATCACCATGCAAAACAGTGCTGGCCCAGCCTAAGTGAAGGACCCCAGGAGTGGTTATATTCATTGGAGGGAGTGGCCCAATTGTATTTCCTGGAGGGCTTCACCTCACATGGCCTCTGTTTTTATTGCTTTTTAAATGCACCTGCCTTAGGCTGGACATGGTGGCTGTGGCAGGTGCCAGTTGTGGTTATAAGCAGGGGAAGCCTGTCTACTTTCCCAGGAGAGATCTGATGGTTCTGGGTCTAGAGACCAAGAGTTGACAAGGGTCTATGCAAAGAACAGAATGAAGAAAGAGAGGAAGGAGCTGAGTTAGAAAGAAAACTAAGACCAGGAAAGTAACAAAATTTATAGAGAGTTAAGGGCCCAGGCTTAGATGAAATGGAGACGGGTGTCTGTGTGTGTGTGGGGGGGGGACTTGGAGATTCTATGGTCTACTAGGTGTTGTAAGGAGAATGTGTCCATTGTGTTGTTGAGGAGAAATGTTTGTTCTTCTCTTCTGTGTTTCTGTTATATCTTTCTGAAAGCTGAAACAACAACAAAAAAGATTGCTGGTCTTAACCTTTTTTTTTGTAGATGGGGAAATGGAGGCCAAAAGGAAAAATGGTTATTCAATTACTCTTTCCTATTAAAGTATATCTTCTCCTTTCCTCCACTGATGTCTTGGCACAGCCCTGCCTCACTTAGGTCCAGTTCACTTGCAACTGCAGCTGTCCCGTCCTGATGTCATGGCTTCTCTTCCAGAAAGAATGATAAACAACAACCAGCTGCCACCTTGGAATCTTTCCCTGTAGACAAAATCAGCTTGAGCCTGGTCGGCCCCTGACATTCTTGCTGCTTCTGTTAGGATTCAGGGCATGAAGGTCAGAGCACCCATTTATAAGTATATGACTCATCATATGGAAGAAATGAGGAAGGAAAGAGAGAAGGAAGGAGCATTGCCCAGCTGGAACTGAACAGTTGGGTCCCCAGTGGGGCAGCTACTACTCCTCACAGATTGTTGTTTGTAATACATTCTGTTAAAAAAAATATTTATTTTTAGTTTTCAACATTCACTTTTATAAGATTTTGAGTTCTACATTTTTGCACCTGCTTACTAGTCCACCATCAATGTATTAGTGTTCTAGTTTTTACACATCTTCTCCAGCATTTATCATTTTCCTCTTCTGTCATGTTAACTAATACAACAGGTGTGAGATGGTACCTAAGAGTTCTTTTAATGTTAGTTTCTCTAATCCATAGTGATTAAGAGCATTTTTTTCATGTGACTATAGATAGCTTTAATTTCTGCATCTGAAAACTGCCTGTTCATATCCTTTGACCATTTGTCAATTGGGGAATGACTTGTATTCTTATAAATTTGTCTCAGTTCTCTCTGTATTTTAGAAATGAGGCCTTTATCAGAGATACTGGCTGTAAAAATTATTTCCAGCTTTCTGCTTCCTTTCTAATCTTAGCTGTATGGGTTTGTTTTTGCAAAAACTTTTAAATTAATATAATCACAATCACCATTTTGCATTTCATAAGTTCTCTTTTTCTTGTTTTGTCATAAGTTCTTCCCTGCTCCATAGATCTGACAGGTAAACTATTCCTTGCTCTCCTAATTGCTTATAGTATCAGTCTTTATATCTAAATCTTCTGGTCTTTTCGACTCTATCTTGATATGGTGTGTAAGATGTTGGTCTGTGCCTAATTTCTGCCATACTGTTTTCATTTTCCTAGCATTTTTTGTGAAATACTTAGTTCTTATCCCAAAAGCCGGAGTCTTTGAGTTTATCAAATAGTGAACGTTTGTTATTTATTCTAGGTTGCCAACTGATATATCTTCTAAGAGCCTGTCAGGTGTTTCTGAGTACTCCCACAGCTGCCACCTTGTGGATATGCACTCCTGGATTATCTGAAAGCACCAGCTACAAGTGGACATCTCTTGCCACTCTATGAGGAAGAGTGAAGTCTTCCCTATACCTGGATTGGCCTGAAGGAGCATCTTTGGGCACACCTTTGACCAAAAGGAGGAGGATTTGAACCATTTTTGAACCCCCCAAGACCTGAGAATATCCTAAAACCTAGATTGGAAAATCAGGAGAAAGATATTTTTGGCCAGCTGTGAGCTTAACCTACCATAATGCTTTGCATGCTCTGGCATAACACACATGCTTTGTTTTGCTCTCTGAGTGCAACCAAAATGCTCCTTCCTGTTTCAGCAACTAACCTGAAGGTTGTATGAAAGTGATCAGGAGCATTCTTCTGTTTATGACTCCCAAGTGCAGGATGTTTTGAACTGGACATTATCATGAATGATGAGACGTTTTCTTGATTTGGTATTTTATGGGCATGCATTATGCTATGTTATGCGATACGTATTCAAGTTAATGATAAAAGGAACACAGAAATCCTGCATCTATAATGTTAATGGACACCTTCACATTCTCTTATCTTATTGTATTTACAATCTACCCAACTAAGAAATTCCCTTCTCATATTATGGTTAACAGGTATGGAGGCTCTAATTTTGGCTGACATGGGCATCCTGAGCCATGAAGGGAGGGATTGGTGAGAGGGAATTACTGTGAAGATCTGAGAGCTCCTTTGTTTTTCTGTCCTTGGGCTCATTTACACAATAAGCTCCCATGCTTATCTCTGCCTGTATGTTCCAGAAGCTTTCAGAGAAATAAACATGTACATGCATCCTGGTCTTCTTTATCTTTCTTTTTCTTTTTTTTTTAGGCAATTGTGATTAAGTGACTTGCCAGGGTCACACAGCGAGTAAATGCCAAGTGTTTGGTCTGAAGCCAGATTTGAATTCGGGTCCCCCTGACTTCAGGGTCGGTGCTCTATCCACTGCACCACCTAGCTGCCCCAGTTTGTCTTTCTTAGAATGACCTCAGTAATGGCTGACAAAGCATAAGTCTGAAGTCTTAAAGAAAGCATTTGGGGAATGGCTGACTATATTAGAGTCTATAATAGTAGAACACTGTGAAAAAGCTGGTGTCGGAGAAACCAGAGAAAGTTATAAAGATGTACTGAAGCAGAGTGACATGAAAAGACCAAGGGATCAAACGATTGAGTAATAACAACACTAGGCCTGGTACAAAGGCCATGCATGGTGGCCCAAGCCTGTCATCCCTGCTACCAGGCTGGTATACTGCTTGAGGTCAGAAGTTAGGAGCAGCAGGTAGGCTGTGGCCAGATTCGGTGTCCAGACCAAGTCTGCCACCAATAGTAGTCTTGGCCTCTTCCTCCCCAGGAGGCTGCCTAAAGACCTGCCAACTGGTCCAGATCAGAAAGAGAGCACATCAAAGTTTTCATCAATCACATCCAGCCTGTGAGCAGCTGTTGTATTTCCAGCCAGTTGACATTGGGAGAAGGCCCAAAATGCTTTGGGAGGGGAAGATCTCTCTTGCAGTAAGCAACTGCTATTTACACTCCCTTTGGGCCTTCAAATCCCAAACAGTGACCCAGAGAGGCTTGGGCTGGGACTTAATATTGGCCAATCAGTGACAGCCAGAGTGTTGTGTATTGAAATCATAGTGAAGTATCTCCATTTGAATCTGAATGGGCTTTATCAAAGCCTGGGTTTCCAGAGTTCATTCTCAAGCAATTTATATTCCTTTGGTCAGAACCCCTAAATGCAAGTGTATGATTCCCCATTGGCAAGAAGAGAGGAAGAAAGAAATTGAGGAAGAAAGGAAGGAATGAAGGAAGGAGCATTGCCCAACTGGAAATGAGCTGTGGGTTTCCCAGTGAGGCAGCTATTACTACTCACAGACAATTGTTGTCCTTCATTCTTTTTTTAAAAAATTATTTATTTTTAGTTTTCAGGGTTCACTTTTATAAGATTTTGACCTCTAAATTTTTCAATCAGTTCACAACTCCACCAACAATGTATTAGTATTCCACGTTTCCTACATCTTCTCTAACATTTATAATTTTCTTGTTTTGTCATGTTAGCCAATCTGATAGGTGTGGGTGCTTCTTCAGAGTTTTTTTTAATTGCATTTCTGTAATCAATAATGATTTAGAGCATTTTTTTATATACTATACTTAGCTTTAATTTCTTCATCTGAAAACTTACTGTTCATATTCTTTGACCATTTATGAATTGGAGAATGACTTGTATTTTATCGGTTTGACACAGTTCTGTATATGTTTGAGAAATGAGGCTTTTATCACAGATATTGGCTTCTAAAATTGTTTCCCAGCTTTCTGCTTCCCTTGTAATCTTGCTTGCATTACCTTTTTCCAAAAGCTTTTTAACTAAATGTAATCAAAATTTTCCATTTTGCATTTCATAATGTTTCCCTCTTTTGTTTGGTCATTCATTCTTCCATTCTCCATAGCTCTAGCACGTAAATTATTCCTTGTTCTCCTAAGTGCTCCTAGTTTCACCCTTTATGTCTACATCGTGCACCCATTTCGAACATATCTTGGTATATGGTGTAAGATGTTGGTCTCGGCCTAGTTTCTGCCACATGGTCTTCCTGTTTTCCCAGCAGCTGTTGTCAAAGAGTGAGTTCTTATTCCAGAAGCTGGAGTCTTTGGGTTCATCCAACAGTAGATTACTATAGTCATTGCCTCCTGTGTCATGGGTACATAACTTATCCCGCTGATCTACCACTGTATTTTTTAGTGAGTACCAAGAAATTTTGATGATTGCTGCCTTCACATACAGTTTCAGATCTTGTATGGCTAGGCCACCTTCCCTTGCATTTCTTTCAATTAATTCCCTTGATGTTCTGGACTCTTTGTTCTTCCAGATGAATTTTGTTTTTATATTTTCTAGCTCTGTAAAATGATTTTGTAACTGATATGGCAGTGAATAAGTAAGTTAATTTGAGTAGAGTTGATATTTTTACTATGTTAGCCTGGTCTACCCATGAGCAACTGATATTTTCCCCATTATTTAGATCTGATTTCTCCCTCATTCTTCAAGAGGATCAGTGACATCAGGAAGGTGATGTCTTGCCTTACAAGTAAACTGGATTTAAGTGATGCAGGGCTGTGCAAAGGAACCAGTCACACTCTCACCTCCAGAGCTATCTGGGTCCAGGGGCAAGACATAGATCAGGATGTCTGGGTCCAGTGGCAAGACAGGATGACTGTAGATGGTCACTGAAACCTGAGAAAGAAAATGAAAACTGAGACCTGGGAATGAGCTCTGTCCCACTGCATCTGGGGCCATCTTGCTTATCATCTTGATCTATGTGTTACTACTGGCCTCTGATGAGCCTGAAGGAGAGAGGGAGACCGATGTCTTTGCACAACCCTGCCTCACTTAAATCCAATTCACATATGGATAACGTCCTCCTAGGTAGGAAGTGATCGGACAAAGTAAAAAGACCGAGGTGTAATTGTGATACATTTCTAATTAAATAGGATGGCCAATTTTGAGAGAAAAGCAACAAGATTCGACTGTTTCCTCTAAGAATTACATACATGTCTGAATGGACTTTATCAAAGCCTGGTTTTCCAGAGCTCAGTCTGAAGCAATTTATATTCCTTTGGTGAGAGCCCCCAAATGCAAGTGTGTGATTCCCCATGGGGAGGAAGGGAGTAAGAAAGAAATTGAGGAAGAAAGGAAGAAATGAGGTACAGCTGGGTGGCACAGTAGATAGAACACTGGCCTTGAGATGGGAGGATCTGAGTTCAAATCCAGCCTTAGACCAAACACTTGACACTTACTATCTGTGTGACCCTGGGCAAGTCACTTAACCCCAATTGCCCTAAAAAAAATGAAAGAAAGGAAGGAATGAAGGAAGAAGCATTGCCTAACTGGAGCTACACAGTTGTGGCCCATGTGGCAGCTACTCTCTTCACAGTTGTGTTTGTCCTTCATTATTTTTTTTAAAATTATTTGTTTTTCGTTTTCCACATTCACTTTAATGAGTTATTGAGTACTAAATTTTTGGACCAGTTTAAAACTCCACTAACAATGCATTAGTGTTCTAATTGTTACACATCTTCCCAGTGGGGCAGCTATGCCTCTTCACAGATGGTTGCTCATCCTTTGTTCTTGAAGAGACTATTGACATCAGGAAGGTGATGTTTTGACTTGGAAGTGAATTGGATTTAAGTGAGGCAAGGCTGTGCAAAGTCGCAGTCTCACTCTCTGCTCCAGAGCCATCTGAGTCCAGTAGTAAGATATCAGGATGACTGGAGATGACCTCTGAGACCAGAGAAAGAGAAGTGAAAACCTGAGACCTAGGAAATACCTCTCTTCCATTGGATTCATGGCCATCACATTGTCTTCACCTAGAGGGCAGAGTAAGAATGAGGGCAGCTCCTGGAAGCAGTCCCCATGGCAAGGTTTGTGGTCCCTGGCTAAGGCATAGGAGGCAGAAGATTATTTTTCTTCCTCCTTTTTCTCTCTCTTCTTACTCTTTCTACCTCAACCAGGGTCCCTGGTACAAATGCTCCTACAGCAGGGCTGTGGGCCCATTCTCCCTGAGGGCAGTGGTTGCCCCAAGCCTGTGACTGTGGAAGCAGCTGCTGCCCCTGCTGAAGGGCTGAGCAGCCTGGGGAGGTTTTTGTTCAGGGCTGAAACACTGTGGGAATGGATCACTGTAACCTTGAAAACAGTAATAATCTGCCACATCCTCAGCCTCCACTGCACTGATGGTGAAGGTGAAGTCTGTTCCCAGAGCCACTGCCACTGAACCGGGCAGGGACCCCAGAGTTCAGAGTGGAAGCATCATAGATCAGTTGTTTGGGAGAGTGTCCTGGTTTGTGCTGGAACCAGGCCATCCACTTGCTAATGCTGGAACTGGCCTTGCAGCTGATGGTGACTTGGTCTCCTAGAGCCACAGACAGGGAGGCTGGGGACTGGGTCACCTCAATGGCTGCCTGGGATTCTAAAGGAGAAGAAGAAAGAGAGTTCAGTGAATGAAGAATCTTGTGTAGAGACAGTGAATGCAGGAGTAGTTCCCTCACCCTCAGACTGAGTCAGAGATGCCCACTGGAAAACTTCTGTCTCTAAAGTGGTGCCAAACTATGGCTCATTGGAAGTCTTACCTGAGGCCAGAGCAGTAGCAGCCAGAGGAGCAAGGACTGGGAGAGCATGGTGACCCTGCAGAGTTGCGGCAGAGAGCTCTGAGCTTAGAGGGAGACTGATGGGAGATATCTGTGTCTCGGGCTGGGTCTGTGAAAAGTCCCTTGGATATCACCATGCAAAACAGTGCTGGGCCGGCTTGAACTGAAGAACCCCAGAAGTGGTTATATGCACATGGAGGGCGTGACCCAATTGTATTTCTTGGAAGGTGTGACCTCATGTGGCCTTTTTTTTTTTTTATTGCTGTATTAAATGCATCTGCCCTAGACTGGACATGGTGGTGGCTGTGGCAGGTGTCCTATTGTGTTTAAGCAGGGGAAGCCTGTCTACTTTCCCAGGGGTGATGAGATAGCTCTGAGTCTAGAGACCAAGAGTTGATAAGCGTCTATGCAAAGCACAGAATGAAGAAAGAGAGGAAGGAGCTCAGGTAGAAAGAAAACTAAGACCAGGGAATCAACAAAATTTATAGAGAGTGAAGGGCCCAGGCTTAGATGAAATGGAGATGGGGGCTAGGGGGAGAGGAGGAGGGACTCAGAGATGCTATGGTCTACTAGGTGTTGTTAGGAGAATGAGTGCCTTGTGTTGTTGAGAGAAACGTTTATTCTTCTCTTCTGCATTTCTGTTATATCTTTCTGAAAGCTGAAAAGAAAAAAAAAAGATTTCTGGTCTTAACCTTTTTTTTTTTTTGTAGATGGGGAAACTGAGGTGAAAAGGAGCAAAATGGTTATTCAGTTGCTTTTTTCCTATTAAAGTACATTTTCTGCTTTCCTCCACTGATGTCTTAGCACAGCCCTGCCTCACTTAGGTGCAGTCCACTTGCAACTCAAGCTATCCCCTCCTGATGTCATTGGTCCTCTTCCAGCAAGAAGGATAAACAACAACCAGCCCCCACCTTGGAATCCTTCCCTGTAAACAACCAGCTGGAGCCAGGTTGGTCCGTGACATTCTTACCCCTTGTCTTAGGATTCAGGGCATGAAGGTGAGAGCACCCATTTGTAAGAAGATGACTCATATGGAAGAAATGAGGAAGGAAAGAGAAGAAAGTAGCATTGCCCAGCTGAAATTGAACAGTTGGGTCCTTGGTGGGCAGCTACTACTCCTCAAGGATTGTTGTTTGAACTTCATTATTTTTAAAAATATATATATTTTTAGTTTTCAACATTCACTTTTGTAAGATTTTGAGTTCTGAATTTTTGCACCAGTTTACAATTGAACCAACAATGCATTGGTGATCTATTTTTTACACATTTTCTACAGCATTTATCATTTTTCTCTTTTGTCATGTTAGCAAATCTCATAGATGTGAGGTGGTACCTGAGAGTTCTTTTAATGTGTGTTTACCAGGTGTTGTGCGGTGAATGTGTCCCTTGACTTTGTTGGATGTGGGGAGAGAGAATAAGTTTATTTTTCTCTTCTGTATTTCGGTTACATCTTTCTGAAAGCTAAAAAGAAAAAAAAAGGGACTGCTTGTTTCAACCTTTCTTTTTGTAGTTGGGGAAACTGAGGCCAAAAGGGGTGAGTGGTCATTCAGGTGCCTTTTTTCATCTTGTTTTCTCTACTCAGAAAGCTGTCACCTTGTATCAGGCCCTCATCATCTCTAGGGTGGACTCTTGCCATGACTGTCTGGTTGGTTTCCATGCCTCCACTTTCTCCCCACTCCAGCCAATGCTGCACTCAGCTGTGAAATGGATCATCTGAGACAACAGCTCTCTCCATGTCACCTCCTCTACTCCAGAAACTGCAGTTCTTCTGTATTACCTGCAGGATGGAATAAAAAATCCTTTAAATCCATTCAGACCTTGGCCAATTCCTCCCTTTCCTATTTCCTCACACTCTACCCCCTTCCAAGCACCCCATGATCTCGTGACACTGGTCTTCTCTCTGTTTCTCATAAAGGACCCTCCTCTGTCTCTGTGCCCCTTCAGTGCCATCCCATGTGCCTGGAATGCTCTTCTTCCTCACTGCTGCTTCCTGGCTTCATGTCCTTCATGTTTGCTCTGAAACAAACATGTTGGGAAGCTTCCCGCTACATTTTCTTGTAGTATGATCTCCCCAAGAAGTCTTTTCTGTAATGCCCATACCTCATGCTGGACAGAGGAGTGTCTGTGGCAGATATCTGACTCAGTGTGCCTTTTCAGTTTAAAATTTTTAATATTGAACTTAAACACTAAGAGAAGAACATTTCCATACCTGCAGCAGAACACAGACAGAGGATTCTGTGTGAAACTATGAACCTCTCTTTCACACAGCTTGCAGAAGTGCAATAAAGGGCATTACTGTCACTGTAAACTGTCATGCTTATCTATACTTCTTTCTGTTCTTTCTTGTGCATTTCAGCAGATGATTCGATGCTCTACTATTTTCTTCCCTCATGATTGCTCTTCCCTCATTCCTGAATTAAAAAGTGAGAAGAAATAAAGAAAACACATCCCCTGTGACATACAAGCACAGTCAAGCAGAATAACTCTAGACAGTGTCAGAGTCCACTTTCTGCATCTGGTGTCCATCCTCCCTTTGTCAGGTGGTTAGCACGTCTTCTCAGAGTTTCTCTAAAGACGTGGTTCAGAGTTGTTTTTCTTGACCATGCTGATGTCCTCATACTTGCCAATGCTGGAACTGGCCTTGCAGCTGGTGATGGCTGTGTCCTGGAGGAAGTGATTGGGCAAAGTAAGAAGACAAAGGTATGATGTGATATATTTCTAATTAAAGAGGATAGCAAATTTTGGAGAAAAGCAACAAGATTAAACTGTTTCCTCTAAAAATTATATACAGGTCTCTATGATTTGCATCCAAAATTTAACTATCATGGAAATCCAGGCTTTAGGAATGCTTTGGCAATAACTTTTCACATTTGTATTTTCCATTATTAAAGTATCTATCTGATAATTTTGAAAGGCAGAAGAACTCATTTTATGATTGGACCCTCAAATTTAAAAGATTCTTATTCTAGATACAGGATTTAGGTAAGGACAGAAACAGCAAATAGTATATAAAGTGAAATTCTCTGAAGTTTCCAAATTGGAGAACCAAATTTAAGGGATTGTACTAACTTATACTAAGTCAGAATTATCTAGAAACTTCTAGATCTGAACCAGGGAAGCAGAATTCTGTTTGAGAACTGTCCTGAGAATAAAACCTGTTGTCCAACAAAAGATTTCTAGAGACCGGGTAACTATATGAGACATCTGGGACTTAAAAGGTGCTGATTAAATGGACATTGAGAATAGATTACTGGGATACAAACAGATGTAATGTTAGTTAACATTGGTAATAACGATCATATTGCTTTGTGTGGTTTGTGTTTATATTTTTCTTGGTTACCTTGGTGACATGCCAATTTCCCTTACCAAAACTAGTCTATTGTGAATCCTCTGAGTGGTTAATCTATTCCTGACTTAAGGTAATGATGCAATTATGGGCATTGTGGGAAAAACTTTGTTATATTGTTGGAACCTAGTGTTGTGTGCTGGGAAACTGAACCATGTTTGTGTGCGTTTAACCAAGGACCTATGTTCTGCTATTTATTCTCAATTGGCAACTGATATGTGTTCTAAGAGCCTGTCAGGTCTTTCTGAGTAGTCCCACAGCTGCCACCTTGTGGATGTGGACTCCTGGGTCATCTGATGGCAGCAGCTACAAGTGGACATCTCTTTCCACTTCCTGAGGAAAAGTGAAGTCTTTCCCATGATTGCGTTGGCCTGCAGTTGGCACTGTTGGGCACACCTTTGACCAAAAGGAAGGGGATGTGAACCATTTTTGAGCCCCCCCAAGAAGTGAGAAAGTCCTAAAACGTATATTGGACAATGAGGAGAAAGACATTTTTGGCCAGCTCTGACCTTAACCTACCATAATGCTTTGCGTGCTCTGGCATAACAGACATGCTTTGTTTAGCTCTCTGAGTGCAACCAAAATGCTCCTTCCTGTGTCAGCAACTAACTATGGGACTGGATGAAACTGATCCTGAACATTCTTCTGTTTATGACTCCCAAGGACAGGATGCTTTCAACTGGTTGCTGTGTTGAATGATGAGACTTTTTCTTACTTTGATATTATATGGACACTTGTTATTCTACGTCATGTGATAGGTATGCATGTTAATGATAAAAGAAACACAGGAATCCTGGATCGATAATGTCAATGGACACTTGACATTCTATTATTTTATTGTATTTACATTCTATGCAATTAAGAAATTCCTTCCTCATATCATGGTTAACCCATATGGAGACTTTCATATTGGCTGACATAGGCAGGCATCCTGAGGCAGGCAGGGAGGGAGGGTTGAGAGGGAATTCCTCTGAAGATCTAAGAGCCCCTTTGTTTATCTGTCCTTGAGCTCATTGTCACAATGAGCTCCTATGCTTATTTCTGTATGCATGTTCCAGAAGCTTTGAGACAAAAAAAAAAAATGTATACATGCAGCCTGATTTTGTCTCTCTTTCTTTTTTTCCTTTTCCTTTTTTCTTTTTTTAGGCAATTGAAGTTAAGTGACTTGCCCAGGGTCACACAATTAGTAAATGTCAAAAGTTTGGTCTGAGGGGAGGTTCGATCTCAGGTCCTCCTGACTTCAGGGTCGGTGCTCTATCCACTGTGTCACCTAGCTGCCCCTGTTTGTCTTTCTTAGAATGAACTCAGTAATGGCTGACAAAGCATAAATCTGAAGTCTTAAAAAAAGCAGTTGGGGAATGGCTGACTAAATTATGGTCTACAGTAGTAGTACATGGTGAAAAAGAAGGTTTTAGAGAAACCATAGAAATTTATAAAAATGTACTGATGCAGAGTGACAGGAAAAGACCAGGAGAACAAATGATTGAGTAATGAGAACACTAGGCCTGGTACCTAGGTCAGGCATGGTGGCCCAAGCCCGTCATCCCTGCTACCAGGGAGGCTGAGGCTGGTGCATTGCTTGAGCTCAGAAGTTAGGAGCTGCAGCTAGCCTAAGGCCAGATCAGGTGTCCCGATTGAGTCTGGCACCAAGAGAAGCCCTGGTCTCCTCCCCTGGGAGGCTGCCTCAAAATATGCCAGCTGGCCCAGATCAGAAAGAGAGCATATCAAAGTTTCCATGCCAATCAACTCTGAGATCCAGCCCGTGAGCAGCTGTTATATTTTCAGCCAGGTGAGATGGGGAGATCTAGACTCAAAATAATTTGGGAGGGGAAGAGCCTCAGAGCTCTGTCCAGAGCAGGAACAATTGCTATTTACAGTCCCTTTCAGCCATCAAACCTCAAACAGTGACCCAGAGAGGCTTGGGCTGGGACTTACTACTGGCCAATCAGTGAGAGCCAGAGTGATCTGGATTTATGGTATATTGAAGCAGCTCCATTTCAATCTCAATGAGCTTAATGAAAGCCTTCCAGGGCTCAGTTTCAAACAATTTATATTCTTTTGGTCAATGGCCCTAAATGTAAGTGTATGATTCTCCATGAGGAGGAAGGAAGGAATGGAGGGAGGAAGGAAAGAATGAGTGTTGCCTCACAGGAACGGGACAGTTGGGTTCCCAGTGGGGCAGTTACTCCTATTCACAGATTGTTGTTCATCCTTCACTCTTGAAGACACCAATAACACAAGGGTGATGATGTCTTGACTTGCAAGTGAATTGGATTGAAGTGAGGCAGGGCTGTGCAAAGTCACTAGCCTCACTCTTCTGTAAAGCCATCTCAGTCCAGTAGCAAGATACAGATCAGGTTGACCGGAGATGGCCTCTGAGACCTGAGAAAGAGAAATGAAAAACAGAGCTGGGAAAAACCTCCCTTGCTCTGGATCCGTGACCATCACATTGTCTTCACTTATGAGAGTAGTGTGAGAATGAGATCAGCTCCTGGAGGCAGCTCCCATGGCAAGATTTGTGGGCCTTAGCCAAAGCATGCCAGGCAGAAGATTCTTTCTCTTCCACCTTTTTCTCTCTCTTCTAAGTCTTTCTACCTCAACCAGCATCCCTTTGACAAATGGCTCCTGCATCAGGGCTGAAGCAGGCCCCATTCTCCCCCCGAGGGCAGTGGTTGCCCCAAGCCTGTGACTCTGGGGAAGCAGCTGCTGCCCTCTGCTGAAGGGCTGAGCAGCCTGGGGAGGTTTTTGTTCAGGGCTGAAACACTGTGGGAATGGATCAGTATAATGCTGAGAACAGTAATAATCTGCCACATCCTCAGCCTCCACTGCACTGATGGTGAAGGTGAAATCTGTCCCAGAGCCACTGCCACTGAACCGGTCAGGGACCCCAGACTGCAGGGTGGAAGCATAATAAATCAGGAGCCTGGGAGACTGTCCTGGTTTCTGCTGATACCATGCCATGTACTTGCTAATGCTGGAACTGGCCTTGCAGCTGATGGTGACTTGATCTCCTGCAGCCACAGACAGGGAGGCTGGGGACTGGGTCAGCTCAATGGCTGCCTGGGATTCTAAAGGAGAAGAAGAAAGAGATTGAAATGAATGAAGAATCCTATGTAGAGACAGTGAATCCAGGAGTAGTTCCCTTTCCCTCAGGTTGTGTCAGAGATGCCCACTGGAAAACTCCTTCTGTCTCTAAAGTGATGCCAAATTATGGCTCATTGGAACTCTTACCTTGAGGCCCGAGCAGTAGAATGCAGAGAAGCAAGAACTGGGAGAGCATTGTGACCTTTGTAGAGCTACAGGCAGAGAGCTTCAGCTCAGAGGGAGAGAGAAGGGAGATATTTGTATCTCAGGCTGGGTTTGAGAAGGTGCTTTGGATATCACCATGCAAAACAGTGCTGGCCCAGCCTGAACTGAAGGACCGCAGGAGTGGTTATGTTCACGTTGGAGGGAGTGGCCCAATTGTGTTTCCTGGAAGGCTTCACCTCCTATGGCCTATGTTGTTATTGCTGTTTTAAATGCACCTGCCTTAGGCAGGAGATGGTGGTGGCTGTGGCAAGTGGCCAGTTGTGGTTATATGCAGGGGAAGCCTGTCTACCTTGCCAGGAAAGATCTGAAGGCTCTGGGTTTAGAGGCCAAGAGTTGACAAGGGTCTATGCAAAGAACAGAATGAAGAAAGAGAGGAAGGAGCTGAGTTAGAAAGAAAACTAAGACCAGGAAAGTAACAAAATTTATAGAGAGTTAAGGACCCAGGCTTAGATGGAATGGAAACTGGTGTGTGTGTGTGTGTGTGTGTGTGAGTGTGTGTGTGTGTGTGTGTGTGTGTGTGTGTGTGTGTTTGTGTTGGGGGGGAACTTGGAGATTCTATGGTCTACTAGGTGTTGTAAGGAGAATGTGTCCATTGTGTTGTTGAGGAGAAATGTTTATTCTTCTCTTCTGTGTTTCTCTTATACCTTTCTGAAAGTTAAAAAAAGAAAAGACGGCTGGTTTAACATTTTTTTTTTGTAGATGGGGAAACTGAGGCCAAAAGAAGCAAAATGGTTATTCAGTTGCTTTTTTCTTATTAAAGTACACCTTCTCCTTCCCTCCCCTGATGTCTTGGCACACCCTGCCTCACTTAGGTCCAGTTCACTTGGAAGTCAACCCATCCCCCTCGATGTCATTGGTCGTCTTGCAGAAAGAAGGATAAACAACAAACAATAACGACCAGCCCACATCTTGGAATCTTTCCCTGTAGACCAAAGCAGCTGGATCCAGGTCATCGCCTGACTTCCTTACACCTTCTGCTGGGATTCAGGGCATGAAGATCAGAGCACCCGCTTATAAGTATATGACTCATCACATGGAGGCAATGAGGAAGAAAAGAGAGAAGGAAGGAGCATTGCCCAGCTGGAACTGAACTGTTGGGTCCCCAGTGGGGCAGCTACTACTCCTCACAGATTGTTGTTTGTACTTCATTCTTTTTAAAAACTACATTTATTTTTACTTTTCAACATTCACTTTTATAAGATTTTGAGTTCTACATTTTCCCACCTGCTTACTACTCCACCATCAGTGCATTAGTGTTCTAATTTTTACACATCTTCTCCAGCATTTATCATTTTCCTCTTCTGTCATGTTAACTAATACAACAGGTGTGAGATGGTACCTAAGAGTTCTTTTAATGTGTGTTTCTCTAATCCATAGTGATTAAGAGCATTTTTTTTCATGTGACTATGGATAGCTATAATTTCTATGTCTGAAAACTGCCTGTTCATATCCTTTGAGTATTTGTGAATTGGGGAATGACTTGTATTCTCATAAATTTGTCTCAGTTCTCTCTGCATTTTAGAAATGATGCCTTTATCAGAGATACTGGCTGTAAAAATTATTTCCCAGCTTTCTGCTTCCTTTCTAATCTTGGTTGTATGGGTTTGTTTGTGCAAAACTTTTAAATTAATAAAATCACAATCACCATTTTGCATTTCATAACGTTCTCATTTTCTTATTTTGTCATAAATTCTTCCCTGCTCCATAGATGTGACAGGTAAACTTTTCCTTGCTTTCTAATTGCTTATAGTATCAGTCTTTATATCTAAATCATGTACCCATTTTGACTTTATCTTGATATGGTGTGGAAGATGTTGGTCTGTGCCTAATTTCTGCCATACTATTTTCATTTTCCTAGCAGTTTTTGTCAAATAGTTAGTTCTCATCCCAAAAGGCGGAGTCTTTGAGCTTATCAAATTGTAGATCCCTATAGTCATTGACTACTGCGTCTTGTGTAAGTAACCTATTCCAGTGATCTATCACTCTATTTCTTTGTCAATACCAAGTAGTTTTGATGACTGCTGCTTTTTAATAGTTGTAGATCTGGTACGCCTAGGCCACCTTCCATTGCATTTCATTTAATTCCTTTGATATTCTGGATCTTTTGTTCTTCCAGAACAAAATTATTATTTTGGTAGTTTGATTGAAACAGCATTAACAAGTAAATTCATTTGGTTAAAGTTGTCATTTTGATTATATTGGCCAGGCATACCCATGAGCAGCTGATATTTTTCCAGTTATTTACATCTGATGTTTCCTTTATTCTTAAAGGGGACCAATGAAATCAGGAAGGTGATGCCTTGACTTGCCAGGGAGTTGGATTTAAGTGAGGCAGGGCTGTGTAAAGTAACCAGCCTCACTCTCTTCTGTAAAGTCATGTGGGTCCAGTGGCAAGACATAGATCAGGATGACTAAAAAATGGTTCCTGAAACCTGAGAAAGAGAAATGAAAAACTGAGACCTGGGAAAGACCTCTCTCCCACTACATCTAGGGCCATCTTGCCTATTATCTTCACCTATGTCTCAGTACAGGCCTCTGATGGGTCAGAGGGGGAGAGTGAGGCTGATGTCTTTTCGCAGCCCCTGCCTCACTTAAATCCAATTCACTAGCAAGTCAAGACAACCCCCTCATCTTGTCAATGATGCTCTTTCAGAAAGAAGAATAAAGAAGAAACAACAACAACCAGCCCCCACCTTGGAATCTTTCCCTGTAGACAAAACCAGCTGGAGCCAGCTTGGCCCCTTACCTTCTTACTGCATGGGTTAGGATTCATGGCATGAAGGACAAAATAATGAGAATGAAGCAGATTTCCTTGCTCAGATCAGCCAGGCTGTCTGGCATCTCATGACTAGGGCTTGCTAGCTTCTCCTCTTCCTTCCTAAATGCAAAAGAACTTTTCATGATTCAAAAGATTGGGAAATCCTTTTTGCTGTGCACTCATGGCACATCCCCCAGGGGGGCAGGCTGGCTACCCTAGGATCTCCATTAAAGAAGCTTTACTTCTCTACTTGTGGCTCTGGGTGATTTCAGGACTTGATACTCCCTTCTTAATTATGACTTCTCAATCAATCAATCAGTTAATCAATCACTTATTCAACAAGCAATTATTACATGATTCCTCCGTGGTAGATTTTATGGATACATTGCATCTGGATATTCAACATATTCTTATCTAAGCATCTGCAAAGAAATGTGAGGTAATTTTCAGAGGGAAAGTGACACCACCTTCTCAGGTAGAAGCCTAGACTTGCAAGACCCTGAGGATTCTAAAAGGTAGAGGGGAGGGCCTGCCTGGGAGCTATCCAGTAGAAAGTGAAGTAGGTGGGAGATGGGAATGTTGGGTGTGCAGAAGAAAAAGGTCAGGAACTGTCACCTGTGCCTTGGGGTGTTATTGCCTTCTGACTCCTTGAAGTCTGTGGGATGCCTTAGAGTTTTCTGAGCTTAGATTTGGTGTATAGGATGTGAGACCTGCTTGAGCAGTTCAGTACCCAATGAAGGCCAAAAACGTGGACTGGCCAATCAGAGAAGACAATTTAAGCCTTTCTGGACCGAGAGGCCAAGTTTCTTCTGGGATGGTCTCTGAGTGAATTTGAAATTTTCCTGCTGTGTCAGCAACCAGAAGACCATATTAATCTTGCACAGCTATCCTGAGTCAGGGGCACTTCCTTTCTTTCTGGCTTCTTAATCCCCCATCCACATAAAGGATAAATGAAACAGTAAGTGTCAGAAAAATATCAGAAAGGGTATTCAAGCTCTAAGTTGTGGTTAGTGAAATGTTGTAATTTAAGGGAAAAATTCTAAGGAGTGTAATTTCCTATTGTTTTAAGCTTTGCTTACAGGGATAGTTGTCTGAACTGTCCTGAAGGTAATGGTAGAAAAAGGCATGTGCTGCAGTCTGGGCACTGCTAAAGGTGAATGTGTGTACCAGGGAAAAGTTTTGGGGATGATGGTGGCCGAGTCTTGGTAGGGTCCTCCCAACTCTTTTTCCTCATTGTTCTATTTCCTTTCTGAAAAGGAAAATTCCCAACTGGTTAATCCTGAGCCTTGTTTTTAACTCCTTGTGACTACATGATTAGCTGTGAGATATGACTCATGCCTGGAATCAAACACAGCTGAGGGCGTTTTCCCCTTCTGTGATCGTATAGGACATTTTTCAAACTATGTCCCTCTTTTTCCTTTTATAGCAAATTCTTATAATCAAGAAGTCTTGTAAATACAATAGTAAATCTGTTAAATAATAGAGTGATACTGGAGTATCTCTGAGTTATTATAATAGGAAGCAAGTACGAATATCTTATAATTTTAACCTATATTTTTTGTCAAATAATAATATAGAGATGATATGCTGCTTAGGGGGAAATCATTAGACAAAGTAATGAGACAAAGATGTAATGTGAGCATTTTCTAATTAAATAGAATATAAATTTTGAGAAAAGCAATAGAATTAGACCATTTTCTGTAAGAATTATACAGATCTTTATTACTTGTCTTACTCTGATTACTATTGGTATGATTAATGTCTATGTAGATGCATACAACTTATCTCTCATGGAAATTCAAGCTTTGAGCATGTTTTGGTGAAAAGTTCTCAATGGATTTTGCACATAAATTCTATGGATAATGGCAAGGAAAATGGAGTAATTTTCCTATTATTAAAGTCTCTGTTTGATAAGTGTAAAAGGTAGAAGAGCTCATTTTATTGTTGGACCCTCCAATTTTTACAAGATTCTTCTCTCAGGTCCAGGAATTAGTTTAATTGATAGCTGCTATTTGTATGGGATACCTGCTGAGTTCCCTGGCAACAAGAGCCGTTCGACTTTCAGGTGTATTGGATTTGGTGTTGTCCCTAAGTGTGTACACATTCCTTTTACTGATGGCAAGTGGAATCATCTTTGCAGACATTTTTGTACATTTTTTTATGCTTCAGCCACAGGATGGGATCCCTTCCTGTAATGGTAACAGGCCAGGGTTGGATGAGTTGAGAATTTTTAGGGCACCTTTAATAGCCCCTTCCTCCCACCAGGAGGTAAACAGTGTGGTCCTTCAAAAAGGCTGCTTAGACACCCAGGAAGGTGCTGAATCCCACTGCTGCTTCCAGTGAGAAATGACCCTATGGTCTGGGTCTCTTGGTGGAGGGTTGTGACTACAGCTCCCAGTATAT